ACACACACACACACACACACACAGCAGGCACAGCCCAGGTACCTTTGCTACTGGAGGCAGTAAGAGCGATTGTAGAATTTGGAGCTGGCCAAAGCTGGCCAAAGGCTCTTAATCTTCCAGGACTCTAAGTCTAGCTCCCTTTCCTCCTCCTGCCTTGTGATGGATTTCTCTAGAACCTGCCCTGGATGGCTAGAACACTGTCCCCTTCCTTCTAAACCCCACTCTCATCCATTCCTGGTTTTTGCCCTCATCTTCCAAGAGTCTACATTATGGCCATAGCCCTGCCTCACGACTGTTCTTTATAATATAGTTCTTAGACTCTGGCTGGGCCTGACCTGCCCTCCAGGTGTTCTTCCCTACGGAAAACTCATTGCCTGGGAGCATTGTATGATTCTTTTTTTTTTCTTCTTTTTCTTTTTGGTTGGTCCTGGGGCTTGAACTCTGGGCCTGGGTGCTGTCTCTGAGCTCTTCAGCTCAAGACTAGAGCTCTTCCACTTGAGCCACAGCACCACTTCTGGTTTTCTGGTGGTTAATTGGAGATAAGAGTCTCACAGACTGGCTTTGAACCAGGCTGGCTTTGAACCACAATCCTCAGATCTCAGCCTCCTGATTAGTATTACAGGCATGAGCCCCCAGTGCCCAGCCTGTATGATTCTTTGGATGTCTCCACAACAGAAATATACTTCCTTAACTCTTCTCAGTTTGCATAAAGCATTCCTTGGTGGGCAGTGCCCCACAGCTTTGTGTGAGGGCAAAGCCCTCATTGCTCTGTAGCTGGGAAGTATTCATCATGCATGCTCTGGGTGCCTGATTCTCTTAGTGCTGGGGCTGGGCTGAGGAGCAGGGCCATCATGTATGGCTGAGCACACTGGGTCACTGCAGTGTGGAACTGCCCACTCTTGGGGTCTCTTCCTCACTTGTCCTCCCCTGTGTCTTTCCCCAGGCAGGCCAGACCCCACTGGAGACCGCCCGCTACCACAACAATCCAGAAGTTGCTCTGCTCCTCACGAAAGCTCCCCAGGTAGGATTTCCTGCTTGTGCATTGTCAGATGACACAGGATGCAGTCACCCGGAGGCCCTCATTGGCATCTAGTGAAAGCAACTGAAGCTCAGTAGGAAATCGATGGGCCTACCAGCTGGGCAGGTGGACACAGGCATGCACGTGGGTCTCCTGGAAGAGACTTCAAATCCTGCTTTTTAGACATGGTGTAATTTTCTTCTTTGGCCAGAATAGTCACCACCAGCTTCCTGGCCCCTAACTTCCCAGCTCCATAGCCTGGGAGGTGCAGCATTGTAGGGGCAAATTCCATGCCTGAACAAGCGTGATGCAGGAGGGAGGAATCTGCTCAGAGGAAGATGAGGGAACAGACCATCCTAGTGAGGCCACCAGAAGCAGAGCCGTTCAGGAGGGTTTCTTTCATTTTCTAATCAAATTATGGTATTTTGACCCTTATTCATAAAAAATGTCAAATGTCATTTGAATAGAGGTTGACATCTAAGTATCAATAAAGACATATAAGGATGCTTAAGCTACTTATAATTCCAACACCCTGAAGTATCTGCCTTTGTTGGCTCTTTTTACCTTCCACAGACATATTTTCCTTCTGTAATTGGGCCTATGTTGTACAAACCCCATTGTATCCTTCCTTTGATCTAACTGTAATAGGGCAATGTTCTGTGGTCTCTATACACATTCAGTATAATGAAAGCATATTCCTTCTTGTTGATGTCAGTATTAAACCATTTCATTAATGTTGGCAGAAGTGGAGCTATGGCTCAAGTATTAGCATTCTAGCTTTGAGCAAAAAAAAATCTCAGCACAGGGGCTGGGAAGGTGGCTCAGTGGTAGAGTGCTTGCCTTGCATGAAGCCCTGGGTTCAATTAGTCAACAACACAGAAGCAGAAAAAGCCAGGTGGTGCTGTGGCTCAAATGGTAGAGCACAAGCCTTGAGCTGAAGAGCTGAGAGTCAGGGCTCAGGCCCAGAGTTGAGGCCCCACAACTGAATTAAAAAAAAAAAATCTCAGCACAGTGCTCAGGCCCTGAGTTCAAGCCCTAAGACTATAAATATATCCATATTTATCAATGTTTGACATTTAGATTATTTCCAGTTTGGAGCTATTCTGTTACATGACATCATGTCATTGATTGGCTTGCCCAACACACACTCCCTTGAGCCATACCTCCAGCTCAGCTTTTTGCTGGTTAATTGGAGATGAAGTCTCATGGACTTTTCTGCTCATGCTGGCTTCATACTACAATTATCCAGATCTCAGCATCCTTAGCAGCTAGCATTACAAGTGTGAGCCACCAGCTCTCACTCTAGGTTTTTGCAAAGAATGATCCACAGAATCACATCTGTGAATCCTGATTTTTATAAAAAGTGCTGGTTTCCCCTGGGTCTAAAGTATAGGGTGTGGCTGAGCAATATTGCTCACATCTGTAATCCCAGCTACTCAGAACACAGAGATCGAGAGGATCCTGGTTTGAGGTCAACCTGGGCAAAAAGTTTGTCAGATCCAATCTTATCTAATAGCTAGGTACAGTGGTGGTTATCTGTCAGCTATGAATGTTTGAGGATTGTGGTTTAAAGCCAGCCTAAGGGGAAAAAAAAAGTTAAGATCCCATTTCAACAGAAATAGATGGGTGTATTGGTACAAGCTTGTCATCCTAGCTATAGTGGGAAATGTAAAACAAGAAGATCAAAGGCCAGGTCAGCCCTTGTAAAAGTGAAACCCCATGTCAAAAATAACCAAGCAAAAAAAAATGCTAGAAATATGTTTGAAGTGGTAGCACGAGGTTCAAATCTCACTACTGACTTTTTTTTTTAAGTACGGAATGCTCTGTTCATGTCAGAATCCATCACATTTATCTGTTGTTTTCAGCTTTTGGCCTCTTGATGGACAGCCAGTTTCCCCCTTAGCCAACTCCCCAGGCACGTGAAGACTGATCATGTCCTTAATCCATCTGTCATTGTTCTTCCATATCCCAAGGATCATCACTTACAGAGAAAAGCTTTCCCAAATGACTGGGTGGAGGGAGTGGTGTAAGTGGTAGAGTGACTGCCTATCAAGACCAGAGCCCTGAGTCCAAATCCTAGTTCTACAAAAATAAGAATCCTTAGGATGTGTCTTAAGTTTTGTTTATACTCATGCTGAATAATGGCAAATAAGTAGGTGACATATTAAAGTTTATTTCTCACAATTGTACATGTAACCCTTCTCAGCACAAAGAAACTGTAGACCATGCACGCTATTTCATGCATTTTGTTTTGTTATCTGTAGTTACAACCTTACTGGTTTTATAAGCAAAGTGAAATCTCCTTTCTGGGACTTATATACTTGCTTGGCTTTTTCTGCTTAAGGCTGGTGCTCTACCACTTGAGCAACACCTCCTAGCTTTTTGGTAGTTAATTGCAAATAGCAGTCTCTAATATTTGTCTGACCCAGTTGGCTTCGAACCTCGATCCTCAGCTCTCAGCCTCCAGAGTAGCTTGAATTGCAGGCATGAGCCACCACTTAGGTGAATGTGGATATTGATGGCCCACAGAGGTACTAAGTGGGCACTCTTTCGTTCCGGGCCTCAAGATTAATTTTCTCTGGCTTCTATGTTCTGGAAAAGATGAATGACACTCCATCTGAGGAAGATGGTATGGTTCACTGGGAAAGCTATAAGCCCAGGCAAAGCATGGTTAAAGGGAGGGAATTTTGCTGGTGATTATTTTGCGTTTGGATGACCTTGGAGTATGGCTTGTCATATGTGATTGATGAGACAAATTGATGTCACAAATGCTCTGAAAGAGAATCTCAGGCTGTTTCTGGTGCTGTGCCTGTTCTAAGAGGCCACTAACCAGGAGGACATTCAGGACAAGTCATTTGCTTTTCTCAGATGTGACTTCCCAGGGAGTTTGAAGAGAGCATTAGAAATGTCATAGTAGGATTGAATCTAGGGCTTTGAGCAGTGACCCTACAGTCCCAAACAACCAGTCTGGTTCTCTTTTTAATCTAAGGACTCTTTTACATTCTTAATACTTTGATCCATTGCTTGAAGTTTTCAATAATTCAAAGATTCATGTTCTGCTAAACATCCTCTTTCAATTAAGTGACTCCAAGGCAGCAGGTAGTGGGAAGTGACTGGGCAGGGTGGGCGTGGGTCCAATGTATGCCAGTCACCTACTGGATTATGGTTCAGCAGCCCCTCATCTTTACATCGGAGGAGATGGAGCACAGAAAGAGGCCAGAATCACTTGTCTGAAGGCCAGCTACTGCTCAGTTCCAACCTAGTCCGTGCCAGGACTATGGCTTGAACCAGGGACTGGGCACACAACTCCATTTGGGAATATTTTTTGTTGATTATTTGGAGGAGATAAGAAAAAGTCTCATGGGCTTTCCTGCCCAGGCTGGCTTTGAACTGTGATCTTTAGATCTCAGCCTCCTCCTGTGTAGCTAGATGGATCTGCCTTACTCCCCTCTACCCCCATGTACTTTTTCTGTTTCCTTTCTACCTCTGCATGGTAAGGAACGGATTACATGCTTCCCTTTGGAAGCTATAGTTAGTGCAATGGCTGCTGCTGCTCCTCCTCCGCCTCCTCCTCCTCCTCCACCTCCTCCTCCTCCTCATCTTAGTGTTTAAGCTTTTTAGGGTCAGGGACACAATCCTCCCCATTTCTGTATCTCTGCTGTGCTCAGCCCAAGAGCCAGGAGACACAGCAAGCGCAGGGTTGCATGTTTATGTGACTGCTTCATCTCTCCCGCTAGGCTGGCAGTCCTTCGAGGTTGGTGCTGGGCTGAGGGAGGATCTCCTCCCATGCTGTGCACACCCTGGTCTGTAACCATGCTGTTTGCTTCCTTCAGGTCTTGCGTTTCAGTCGTGGGCGAAGCCTGAGGAAAAGGAGAGAGAGGCTCAAGGAAGAAAGGAGGGCTCAGTCGGTGCCGAGAGATGAGGTGGCACAGAGCAAGGTGTGGGGGGGGGGTCCTCCTACCTGGCCAGCACCTGTCTGCCACATTCCCTGCGTCCTCAGGGGCTCGCTGGTGGCTGCCAGGCCTCCTTGGCTCTCCTTCCCTCTGGGGCTCTTTCTCCTTTTGGCTTCATGTCTTCTGTTCCTCCAAGATTCCTTCCAGATCTCGTGCGTGTGTGTGCGTGTGTGTATGCGTGTGTATGTGTGTGTGTGTGTGTGTGTGTGTGTGTGTGTGTGTGTGTGGCATATGAAGATGCACCATGCTCCAGTCCCATGTACTTATGGCTTTTGTCCCTCTGCATGGATGACATCAGACACTGTGCCTATAACTAAATACAACTAAATATACACATTGCTCAAAAAGTGTGTTGCCGGGCGCCAGTGGCTCACTTCGGTAATCCTATCTACTCAGGAGGCTGAGATCGGAGGGTCACGGTTCAGAGCCAGCCTGGGCAGGAAAGTCCGTGAGACTTTTTTCTCCAGTAAACCACCAGAAAACTGGAAGTGGCACTATCGCTCAAGTGGTAGAGCGCTTGCCTTGAGCTGAAGAGCTGAGGGACAGCGCCCAGGCCCAGCGTTCAAACCCCACGACTGGCAAAAAAATAAAGTGTGGTATTCCAATGTCACCTGGGTCCTCGTTTGAAATGCAGATTCTTCAGCCTTATCTCAGACCCACAGTTAGAAACTCTGGGGTAAAGTCCCAACAGTCTTGTTGGAACAAACCCTACAGGAGATCCTGATGACAACCCTCGGCATAGCTTGTTTCCTCAGTTTCCCCTTAGAGAATGGATCTGGCCCATATGGTTCCTTTGTGCCAATCAGAAAAAGAAGTCTCTGAGGTAGGCTAGCCCTGCACAGGACGTGGGGTGAATGGTGTCCGAGTGGGTTCCAGTTCCCCTTGCCCCTTCCCCCCTCAGTGAGTGCCCTTGTGCAGTGAACAGCTTGCTCAGCTGTCCTTGGCTGTCCTGAGAGTCTCTGAGGGACCAGTTAGGATACAGAAGCAACGCTTGGCACATAAAATATTATCACCAAGCACTGGCTCTTCTGGATGCCATTTCAGGATCTTCTCATCAATTTCCAAGGCTAAGGTATTGTCACTCGGATTGAGTTCCTACATACAAATTATATAAACTAAATTATAGAAATTCGCACAAGGAACAGAAATATATATAATATATTTCATTTTTAATGGTTCTCACTCTCTGCCATAAGGTTCCCCAAATGAGTGGGACTATATTCAGTTGAAGTAGAAAAGACCCAAATTTCTAATGCTTTTTTTGTGTAAGGGAGGTGTCTGGAGTTCTAGAATAGACAAGATTTCATGAGGGATCTAACAAGATAAAAGCCAAATATTAAGACCAACAAGCAATTCTGAAATTTACTGGCATAAAAATTTCCCCTTACCAAATGGCGTGTTACAAGCAGATAGCTTTGCCTTGCTGGTGGTAGGCCAGGTGAACAGGTTCTGGCTTTTATTCCCTGTAGGGAAGTGTGTCGGCCGGGGACACTCCCAGCAGTGAACAGGCTGCTCTCAGAAAAGAAGAAGCCAGGGAAGATTTCCTGTCTGCCTCTCCTGAACCCAGAGCAAAGGATAACCGGAGGAGAAAGTCCAGACCCAAGGTCAGGAGGCAGGTGACAGTGGCATTGTGGTGGCTGGGGAGGAGAGCTGTTGGGAGGCCTTGCTGCCCATCCTGCTAGCAGCTAAGGCACCATGTGACTGAAACACTGTTTCAGTGGTGGCTCTGGTGGGCACTGGTGGCTCACACCTGTAATCCTAGCTACTCAGGAGGCTGAGATCTGAGGGTTGTGGTTCAAAGCTGGCCCGGGCAGGAAAGTCCATGAGACTCTCATCACCATTTAACCACCAGAAAACTGGAAGTGGTGCTGTGGCTCAAGTGGTAGAGTGCTCGCCTTGAGCTGAAAAGTTCAAGGACAGCACCCAGGCCCAGAGTTCAAGCCCCATGACCAACAACAACAACAATAAAAAAAGGAATTAAATCTCACAGCCAGATGTGGTGTCTCATGTCTATAATCTAGCTATTCCAGAGACTGAGATCTAAGGAGCACAGTTCAAAGCCAGCCCAGGCAAGTAAGTCCAGGAGACTCTTACCTCCAATTAATCACTAAAAAGCCAGAAGTGGAGTGGTGGCTAAAGTGATAGAGCGCTAGCTTTGAGCACAAAAGTTTAGGCACAGTGCCTAAGTCCCGAGTTCAAGCCCCAGGACCATCAAAAAAAAAAAAAGAGAAAGAAAAAATTAAATCCCACTAAGTTTGGATGGATGAGTGGACGTATGTGTTTCTTTGGATGTGTGTTGCTCTGAGTTGAACACCATGGGGCACAAGAAGATGGGGTTCTTGGCCAATAAGTGGGGGTGATGGGAGCCACTGGCTGGAGTTATCCTGGCAAGATCACAGGCTCAGAGATGTTGTCTCTTCCTCCCTTACAGGTGTCGGCCTTGTCTGACCCCACCCCAGCAGCTGACCAACACCCTGGACACCAGAGGAACTTTCACACCCATCATCACCCCAAAAAGAAGAGCAAGCATCGGGGTTCATCCCCACCACCACCTCATGAATTCAAAGCATACCAGCTGTATACCCTGTATCGGGGAAAGGATGGGAAAGTGATGCAGGTACCCCAGGGCCTGCCAGAAATGGGCACGGGAGCCTCCGCAGGGAGGCTGTGGGGCCCCTTCACCCAAATGGTGTCCATCCACTCCCGCCACTTTGGCGTAACAAACCGATGGGAGCTTTCTGCACTATTCTTTGGTGACAAGTCTCTGCGGGCCCCAGAGTGGAGAGATGGACAGCTTGATACCAGGGACCAGGTCTTTCCCTCTCTCTGTCCTCAGTGCCTACTAGAGCTGAGCCATGGAACATTCCAGAATCAGGAGAGGGATGAGTCTATCTTCTCTATCAGCTGCAGCCCTGCTCTCCTTTGTGGAAGAATGAAAGGTGGGGGAGGGCTGACTCCTCTTCTTCATTCCTCCTAGGCACCAATTGATGGGTGTCGCTGTGAACCACTCATCAACAAGCTGGAGAATCAGTTGGAGGCAACTGTGGAGGAGATAAAAGCAGAGCTGGCGGCGGTTCAAGACAAAATGAACACGAAGCTGGGACAGGTGGAGACTAAGACACAGCACCAAGTAAGCAAATGGCATGGCCTCCTCGTTGCCAGTTGTTCTGGCAAAAAATGAAATCAGAAGTGTTAGGACTGTGCTTGTAGCTCAGTGGGAAAGCACTTCCTGGCATGCACAAAGCCCTAGGTTCCATCCAAAAAGCAAATAAAGAACATAGGCTTTTGCATGTGCTGTGTGCCACCTTCCCAGCCCTGTGAGACTCTTATCTCCAATAAACCACCAGAAAACCAGAAGTGGCGCTGTGGCTCAAATGGTAGAGCACTAGGCTTGAGCTGAAGAGCTGAGGAACAGCACCCAGGCCCAGAGTTCAAGCCCCACAACCTAAAAAAGTCTGATGCAGCCTGGTCTATATAGAAACACCTTATCTCATAAAAGAAGCTGGGGGCTGGGAAGGTGGCTCAATGGTAGAATGCTTGCCTTGCATGCCTGAGGCCCTGGGTTCGATTCCTCAGCACCACATAAGCAAAAAGAAAAAAGCCGGAAGTGGTGCTGTGGCTCAAGTGGTAGAGCGCTAGCCTTGAGCTGAAGAGCTGAGGGACAGCGCGCAGGCCCAGAATTCAGGCCCCACGACCGGACCCAAAAAGAGCCAGGCACTGGTGGCTCACGCCTGTAATCCTAGCTACTCAGGAGGCTGAGATCTGAGGATCAAGGTTCAAAGCCAGCCCGGGCAGGAGAGACCGTGAGACTCCTATCTCCAATAAACCACCAGAAAACCGGAAGTGACACTGTAGCTCAAGTGGTAGAGCGCTCGCCTTGAGCTGAAGAGCTGAGGGACAGCACCAGGCCCAGAGTTCAAGCCCCACGACCGACAAAAACAAAACAAAACAAAAAACTGGTGGTGGCAGGGTGGAGGGGGGTCTTAAACTGCTTTTGATTATACAGTGTTATAATCCCATTTACAGAGTATATTTACAAAATAATTAGAAATTATAAAGTTAGCCAAGCACCAATGGCTCATGCCTGTAAACTGTCATTGCTGTTCAAAGACAGCCATGGTAGGAAAAGTCTGAGTCTCTGATCTCCAGTTAACCACCAAAAAGTATGGAAATGGATCTGTGGCTCAAATGCTCCAGCACTGAACACAAAAGCTAAGGGACAGTGCCTGGGCCCTGAGATAAATCCCCCATATCAGCATGCGCGCGCACACACACATACATATACATATGTGCGCATACACACACTGCCATCCATATTAGCTAGACTGTGCCCAGGGAGGGCCAAATGATTTGAATGGTAGGAATTCCAAGGGCCTCTTTAATACGAAGGAGGTAACGGACTGGATTCCATATGGCAGGGACAGGCCCAGGGCCCAGGTGATTCAGGTTGCCTGCACCAGTCCACTGTGCCCTGTGAACCAGCTCCATGTATACATGGTTCTTCTTAGAGCTCTTCGCTTCTATAGGGTGAAGACGGGAACAGAGAGAGTAGGCCACACCTGCAAAACAGAGACTTCACAGACAAACCTGGAGACGGACAAATCAGCAAGTGCTCCCATAGCTCCACAACTGATATTTCTTTGTATATTGCTGGACATCACTGTGTGGAATGCCATTTATATCACCAACAGGAGAGAAACTTGCCAGTGAGCCTTTTCGGCTGGATTCTGCTAACAATATTGATTTTTTTTTTCCATTTGGACATTGTCAAAGCAGTAAAAATGTAGCCCAAGTTGGTGTTTAGGCCTTTAGAGAATATCAGAATGGAGAAAGGCCACAAAAGGGTACATGACTAAAAGGTGACTGTCACTTGTGCTCTAAAGCAATCCTTTAAATGCTTTCCACACCTGTCTACATAAGCTTTAACTCCTTTTATGAAGCAGTGAAAATACCCTCTTTCTGGGAAAGCCGGATGAAATGGAAGGTTCAGCTTGTTATAATTGCACGGGTAGAATACATGAAGCAATTGCTCCTGATTTTAGGTAGTCTTGAAACTCATGATCTAAAGCTTGTAGTTCTTTTTGGCCTACAAGATCTGCATTTGCTCAAGTGGCATGCATTGATTCAGTATTCACAAAACTTGGTTTATTTTCTTATTGTTTTGCTGGTTCTGAGGACTGAACTCTGAGTCTGGATGGTGTTCCTGACCTTTTTGTGCTCAAGGCTAGTGCTCTATCACTTAAGCCACAGCTCCACTTCTGGCTTTTTTTGTAGTTTAGTGGAGATAAGAATCTCACAGACTTTCTTGCCTGGGCTGGCTTTGAATCTTGATCCTCAGATCTCCTGAATAGCTAGGATTACAGACATAGCCATTGGTGCCCAGCTATGTATGTATGTATGTGTGTGTGTGTGTGTGTGTGTATGTATTATGCCAATACTATGGCTGAGTTCAGGTCCTGGTTTCTATCCCTTAGCTTTTTTGCTCAAGGCTAGCACTCTAGCATTTAAAGCACATCTCCACTTCTGGTTTTTGTTTTTATTTTTTGCTGGTTAGCTGGAGATAAGACTCTTGTGGATTTTCTCTTTCCTGGGCTGGCTTCAAATTGTGAGCCTCAGACCTCAGCCACCTGAGTAGGATTATAAGTGTGTGCCACCAGTGCCTATCAGAACTTGTATCTTCTTAAAATGTTTTGGTCAGTTGTGGGTTTGAAGCTGGGGCCTGGGTGTTGTCTCAGAGATCTTTTTGATCAAGGTTAGCACTCTACCACTTTGAGCCACAGCACCACTTTCAGTTTTCTGGTGGCTAATTGGAGATAAGAGACTTACAGACTTTCCTGCCCGGGCTGGCGTTGAATCAGGATCCACAGATCTCAGCCTCTTGAGTAGCTAGGAGTACAGGCGAGAGCCTGTAGTCAGTGCCTGGCTTAGGGCTTGTATTTTTAAGACTTCAGATGCAATAAAGAAAGAAAACTGGCCTTATGGAGATGTGCACAGGAATTCTGGAGAGCCCCAGAATCACCAGATGAAAATAGAATCGAATGGGTTGTTGGAATTTACTTGCCTGCGTTGTGAACTCTGCTTGGCAGGCCGGAGCCCGTCCATCTGCGGAGAGACAGGGCTCATCCTTACCTCAACCCAACATGATGCTTTGAATCTCTCTCTGTTCTCTTGAATCTTAGATGCGTGTTTTGGACAAGCTGATGGTTGAGCGACTGTCAGCAGAGAGGACAGAGTGCCTGAGTCGCCTGCAACAGCACTCTGATGCGGAGAAGCACGAGGGAGAGAAACGCCAGGTACAACTGGGTTCCACTAGCTCTTTACTACGGTTCATTGAATGGCCACTAAGTTAAAAGATTGACACCCAGCCCTGAAAACACAAATGCTAAGACTCCAGAAGAACACTGGCATTGCATAGTGAAATGCAGCCAGTAGCACAGTCTGTGGGGTCTGTTACTGAATATACTGGGGGAAGTCACACACGGCTGCCAGAGTCTCCTGTGTATAAGAAAAGCTCATGAACCATTGCAACGGTGTGGAAGCAGTCATGGTGGCTTGGCATCTCTCTGCAACAATAGCTATGGAATGACTCTTTGAGAGTGTACCAGTAGTTCAGGCCTTTAAGGAGCCTGGGTGCTGTGCCGGACAAATGTGGCTCTAATTCACTTAGTGAAGGTTATAGAGGGCTCTGGGTCTGGAGTGCTAAGTAAGCATGGCTGGTGGATGAAGAGTCATCTGTAATTTTTAGGTTTGTCAAAATGGTTATGTCAACTATCATAATTCACAAGTTCATTAAAAAATTGTTATGCGGGGCTGGGGAGGTGGCTCAGTAGTAGAGTGCTTGCCTTGCATGCATGAGGCCCTGGGTTCAATTCCTCAGTACCACATAAGCAGAAAAAGCTGGAAGAGGTGCTGTGGCTCCAGTGGTAGAGTGTTAGCCTTGAGCTGAAGAGCTGAGGGACAGTGCCCAGGCCCAGAGTTCAGGCCCCATGCCCAGAAAAAAAAAAAAAAAAAAAAGTTGTTATTGGTACAGAGGTTTGAACTCAGGGTCTTATGCATGAGATATGCACCTGCTCCTTTTGCTTAGTTATTTTTCTGATAGGGTCCTATACTTTTTCCTGGGGCCAGACTGAACCAGAGCTCTTTTATCTATGCCTACCATCTATGCCTACCTATGCCTTCTGCTTAGCTGGAACGAGTCTACTAAGTACAGGTTAGCTTGTTTGAAATGGGATCTTACCAACTTTTTGCCTGGGCTGGTGTCAAACTGTGATCCTCCTGATTTTCTTCTTCTGAGTAGTTGGGATTGCAGCTATGAGTCACCATGCTCAGCTCTAAAAGTTTATTCTTTATGTTTTAATTTATAAGCCACCTATCAAATTCACCTTTCTCTTTTGTATACTGATGATTTTTTTTGTAGATGTCCTTAGTGGATGAATTAAAAACCTGGTGCATGTTAAAGATTCAGAATCTGGAACTGAAGCTTTCTGGAGATTCTAGGACCTCCAGGGCTAAATCCACACCATCCACATGTGACTCCTCTACAGGTAACCAATGCAGTCAGAACTCTTGTGTCCACAGGTAACGAAACCTCCCCGTCCCTAGATATGTTCTCTGATGATCCAAAGGCAGTCCACAATGTGGCACCATGGAAACACTGGGCAAGAACCATGGTTCACTTACAGCTACATATTCAAATCCCATAAGGTGCCCTTGAACTTAGGCTCCTCTCCCCTAAGCCTCCTTAGTTAGTATCTCATTTGCAAAATTGTATTTTGAGTCTGGAAATATGGCTCATAGTTAAGAGTGATTGCCTAGTATTCAAGGCCTTGGCTTCAATCCCTAGCACCATCAAAAATGAACTTAATAAAAACCAAGACATACTTGAAGGAAGGAATAAGAGAATTGTTGATTAGTATTAACAGTGCCTCAAGTGTAATATTGATGGGTGTTACACTGATCAAAACAAACTAAGCAACTCAATGGCAGTGGTGGGAGGGAGAGAATGGGTGGAAAGAGGGAACAGCTGACACTATGCAAAAAGAAAGGAAAGTACACCTCACCCGATGTGGAAGAAGTAACTGTATTGTCAAAGCTCATAGAACTCATAAACTTTATAGTCCATGATAGACAATTTGCCCCATGAAAGTTAGAATGTTTGTGAATTTAACTAAGTATCACTATCCCACAACATTATAAAATTTGTGAAATTACGTAATCACTTAATCACAATAAAGAATTTGCTACAAAAAAATATATTGATGGGTGTGGAGCCAACCCCAAGGACAAGTGCTGATAAATGCCTGTCTATCTCCTCAGCAGGACACTCTCCCTTTTTGTGCTCTTTCCCCTTTCTCCTCTTTGATTGGCCTTCAGCCTTTGTCCAGTTATGGAAAGCCTCATTAAGTCTAGTTTAAGCATTGAGCTTGCACCAAGTACTAAGATATACATCAAGGAGAGTACTTCATAAGCACCCTAGTGCTTTTTTTTTTTTTGGTCCGGTCATGGGGCGTTAACTCTGGGCCTGGGCGCTGTCCCTCAGCTCTTCAGCTCAAGGCTAGCACTCTACTACTTAAGCCTTTCTGGCTTTTTTCTTTTTGCTGTTGTGGTGCTGAGGAATCGAACCTAGGGCCTCATGCATGCAAGGCAAGCACTCTACCACTGAGCCACCTTCCCAGTCCCACCCTAGTGATTTCACTGAGGATAATTCTGAGCATTCAGAGCCTGGCAGTCCTTACAGAGGGACGTGGCTATGCCAAATGTTTCGTGTAACCAGAGCCATGCCTGGAGCTATATTCTTTTATCTGTTGAAACATTAGGAAATACCCTGAGCAAGTTTTTCTTGGTGGGACTAGTCTTGGAGCTTTTTGTGGCCCTGTACTGGAAATCGTGGGAAATGGGAATAGAATCACCTTTCCAAATTGGAGTCTGGGTTAAGAAATTGGTACATTTGCTGGTCCAGTTAGTAGTTCCCACCTGCATGGAATCTTTGTTACTCAAGAGGCTGAACTGAGGATTAAGCTCTAGGCAGACAAATCTGAAAAGACTCTGATCTCTATTAAAAAGCCAGAAGTAGAGATGTGGCTCAAGTGGTAAAGCTCCAGCCTTAGGCGAAAACGCTATGTAAAAGCACAAGGCCCTAAGTTCAAGCCCCAGTACTGGCACCAAAAAAAAAAAAAAAGGAAAGTAGGAAGGAAGGAAAAAAGAAGGGTAGAAAAAAAAGAAAACTGAGCCGGGCGCTGGTGGCTCACGCCTGTAATCCTAGCTACTCAGGAGGCTGAGATCTGAGGATCGCGGTTCAAAGCCAGCCCGGGCAGGAGAGACCGTGAGACTCCTATCTCCAATAAACCGCCAGAAAACCGGAAGTGGCGCTGTAGCTCAAGTGGTAGAGCGCTCGCCTTGAGCTGAAGAGCTGAGGGACAGCGCCCAGGCCCAGAGTTCAAGCCCCACGACCGACAAAAAAAAAAAAAAAAAAGAAAACTGAACTGGTATATTTGTCCTAAAGAATAAGGGTACTCATTCACCTGGTTAATGCCCCTTTGTGTTTGGAGATGCTTGTTGGTGAGCTGGCATTAGGAAATGTAACTGGGGGTCTTTTGGGGTACACTGAGACAGGCTAAAGGAAAAAAATCAGCCAATTTTCTCAGCTTATAACAGAATCCTTGAGAGTCGTGCCAAGTCAAAATGATAGTCCTGGGATGAAAACATGAAAAAGAGCATGGAGAAGTTGCATGGTGGGTTGTGACGGAGAAGGCCAATACCGCCCCCGTGCCCCGTGCCCCGTGCCCCGTGAGTGTGGTGTCTCTGATGTTTGGTTTCCTTTAAAACAGGAATGGACCCATCAGTAGCGACTGCAGGTCCTGCAGTGACATCGGACAGTTCCTCTCAGGTAGTTAGGCCCAAGGAAAAGGCCCTCAATTCCACTGCTACCCAGAAACTCCAACAAGAGCTGTCTTCCTCAGACTGTACAGCCTCCCGGGTGAGGAAAGTCAAGGTCCAGGCAGGCCTGCTACCCTCCAGTGAGGCAGCTAAAGGTGACCAGCAGGCTGGGCCCTGTGTCAACAGAGGCACTCAGACCAAGAAGTCTGGGAAAAGTGGGCAGGCAAGGCATCGAGGCCAGCAGCCAGCAGCCAGCAGCATCTGCGGCCCAGCTCCACCAGCAGCAGGTGGTGAGCAGACTGCCCCTCATGTTCGAGATGCTTCTCAAGCACTGGAGCTCACCCAGTATTTCTTTGAAGCTGTTTCTTCCCAGATGGAAAAGTGGTATGAAAGGAAGATTGAAGAAGCACGAAGCCAAGCCAATCAGAAAGCCCAGCAAGACAAGGCCATACTGAAGGAACACATTAAAAGTCTCGAAGAGGAACTTGCTAAATTGAGGAGTAAGGTGCAGAAGGAAAATTAAGACTTGGGAACAAAGGCAGATTCTTAAATTTTGGGTTCTGCAACTGCCAAATAGCTATACCCAGGGAATTGCTTATTGTATGCAGACTTTGCCTTTTAAGAAAAATCGCCAATTACTAAAATATGCCAGACACCTGCTTCTTACGCCTGGAAGTATTACAATGTCAACAACAAAGCTGAAACCAGGGGAAGCTTGCTTAGTTTCAGGTTTCATTAGAAGCTGTAAACCTCAAGGCAAGTTCATCTGGAGTTCAAAAGCTCAGTTTTAGCAAGTCACATTAAGAAATCATGTGATGTTTATGTCTAGATCCTAAACTTTCAGGACATGTAAAAAAAAGTCAAAAGCAGGGCCTGGTAATGGGGGCTCACCTCTAGAATCCTAGCTACTCAGGAGGTTGAGATCTGAGGATCAAGGTTCAAACCCAGCCCTGGCAGGAAAATCTGTGAGACTCTTATCTCGAATTAACCACCAGAAAACTGGAAGTGGTGCTGTGGCTCAAAGTGGTAGAGCATAGCCTTGAGCCAAAGAGCTCAGGGACGGAGCCCAGACCTCAAGTTCAAGCCCCACAACCAACCACAAAGAAAAAGAAAAAGAAAAAACACACCTGATTGCTTGTGTTCATTCACGTACATGTATTCACCTGCTGTGCCTAGACAAGAATATCTTTCTGTACCAGAGCTGGAACTCTGAGATGTACCAGTCCATTGCTCTCCAATTTGTAATTCACTAAATGCTGGTGTTTCCACCAGAGGAAGAGTACCTGACATTGAAGGAAAAGAGATGCTCATGATGCCCAGAGATCCAGTAGATCTTAAAATTTTAAGTCAGTTTTATTATAATGAATAATTGGCTACCAGCAATGTTTGTAATGAGCCAGAATGAGAAAAGTTCCAGTCTTTTGATTATGATTTCTGCATTTCAGCCTGATTAATCACAATAAGCAGATTAATAAAAGAAAAAAAAATCATGTAACAACTGCCTGGACCTTCAACATATTCAGCCTATTATTGGATGGCAGCACCTTTGTTTTTATAAAGTTCCTGAAAGTATTTTATTTTGAATTGAGTTCTATCTCTGAATAACCGCAAAGGCTTTTGTCTGTTTTGCAGTGATGAAATCCAGATAATTGGATTACTTGATTTATACTCTGCTGTTAAGGCACAAGAAGAGGCTTTACTACCTGATGAAATAGAAGAAGTTCAGAAACTAAGCGATAACAGTAGCTTGGCGAAGTAGAAATTTTGGATTTAATTATCTCCCAAAATCTCATCCTCTGGAATGTGTGGTTTAGCCATCTTCACCAATGTTTATGTATGAGCCGGGCATGGGTGGCTCACGCCTCTAATCCTAGAGACTCAGGAGGCTGAGATCTGGGGATCATGGTTCAAAGCCAGGCTGGGCAGGGAAGTGAAACTCTTATCTCCAATAAACCACCAGAAAACCAGAAGTGGTGCTGTGGCTCAAGTGGTAGAGTGCTAGCCTTGAGCTGAAGAGCTGAGGGACAGCGCTCAGGCCCCAGAGTTCAAGCCCCACAACCGACCCCCCCCCAAAAAAAACCCCACAACAAATGTGTATGTATAAATAGAAACCCCAATTCTGTTTCTACAAACTGTTGTCTATAATTGTGAATAAATGCTGCTCATTGAGCCAAAGAGAAAATACTGACTTGCTGACATATGGGAACCCTAGAAAAATAGGATGTTCAGCTCCTCTGTGGAGGAGTTATGGGTTTTAGTACCAATCTATGAACATAGACATCGTCAGAAAGTATTTCAGATGCATGTCAAGTTGACCTTATGTGTTTGTGACTGTGTCTTGCTCCTGTCCTTGGGGAGTGGTGGTGTGTGTGCAGCCATTCCCATTTCTGTGGACTCTTCTCACCTCCTCCTCTCCTAATATACACACAGGCCTATAGGACTAGGGGGTACCTTCTCTTCCAAACCTATTGTAACCAAGGAATCACCCACTTACATCACTTCTGTTATTTGGGGACCTGACTATTACTCAAAGGAAAAAAAAATCCAAGAAGTTCAGCAAGTTGTACTTCAAGTAGAAGTTATTTTCACTCACCAAAATACTTCCTATTACCTCAAAGTATCCTGAGAAATGCTAAAAAAAAATAGTTGTAACTGGACTAGCAAGTTTAGACCACAGAGTGCTAAGTATGGACCTCCTATTCAAGGCAGTGGTAGCTTACCACTGTGAACTGGGTGGTTTTTGTTGAGTCAAAAGGCAGAGGGAAGAGACTAGGGAGGAACAAGAAAGGGTAAATGGACTGGTGTAGCACGCTGCTTCGATTTTATCTCTTGGTTCTGTTATGAAAGAAAATCAAGTGAGGCAGAAAATAGAATAATGCCAGTCAGCCTATTAACTCCACACTTAAGTGGGGTTTTAATTTTTTTCTTTTTTGAGAGTCTCATTACAGATCAGGCTAAGCTCAAACTTGTGATCTTCCTGCCTCAGCCTGGGATTATAGACATGCACCACCATTATCTGGTTTTGCAATAGTGTTTTATTTGCAATAGCTGTATTAAGTCTGGTTTTTCGGGCTTGGTGTGTGTTTTCCTCTGTGCTGTGGGCTGAAATAAGCAAATGCCCCAGCTGGCCTTTCCAAAGACAGAGAACTATCAGCAGTACGGCTGTCTTGTAGGTCATGTTTCAATTGAGGCTGGAAACTTTCAGCAGATGTGGGGAAAAGCTATGGAAAACAGAAAATTTGTACATTATTAGTGTTTTTTTTGTTAATACTTTATTGAGTATACTAAATACCTGGGATATACTGAATATGTTCTCACCTTTGATTTTGGAGTCTGAAATAAAGGAAGTGATGTTTGTCTCTTCTGAGTTAAATGTTGGTATACCTGAGATGCATGTTGTCTATTTATAGTGTTTGTATCACCTTGAATCTGTGTTGCTCCAAGCATTAAACTTTCTCACCACTGTCTGGCTTAAACTACTTATTTAAAAGATGGAAAGTGTGACTACATTGCTTAGCCACTCTTTTCTTTTTTTGTTGATTTTTTTTTTGGGGGGGCGGGGTCTTGAATGCAGGGCCAAGCTCTTTTGCTCAAGGCTTAACCCCTATTTCCATCTGCCGTCGTTGACTTCATTTTACTGTGTGTGACAGAGCACTTTCACCCAAATCCCCTCACTGGTACACTTTAGAGACAACACATTGGCTTCAAAGCTGAGGTCAGGAGCACTGCATCCGAGTACAGCCACTGGATCATAGAAAGGTTTCTGGTGCGACTTTAGCTGTTTGACCACTTAGAAAATGCTGGGAAACGAGGAGGAAGAAACTTCAGTTTGGCGGAAATGTCGCTGTGGCTCAAGTGGTAGAGTGCTAGCCTTGAGCTGAAGAGCTCAGGGACAGCACCCAGGCCCAGAGTTCAGGCCCCATGACCAAAACAAAACAAACAAAAAACAACCCCTCCCCCCCCACCTCCAAGAAACCTCAGTTTGGTACAGTCAAGTCTTGAGCAAGCCAAGGTAATATACTTTTTTATTTTTTAACAAATTGTTCCTGTAGGGCTGGGAATGTGGCTTAGTGGTAAAGTGCTTCCTAGCATGCATGAAGCCCTGAGTTTGACTCCTCAGTACCACATAAACAGAAAAAGCAGAAGTGGCGCTGTGGCTCAAGTACTGAGTGTTTGCCTTAAACACAGAGAAGCTCCAGGACAGTGCCCAGCCCTGAGTTCAAGCCCAGGCAGCAAAACAAAACACAAATTGTTCCTATCAGTTAAAGTATATCTGCGGGTGATAAAAAACAAAAATGACTTAAAAATCAGTTTAAATTTTTTTTAGTGAGTGAAACTTTAACCTTTTATTTGTAATAAGGGGGAAATTATCTTTCCCTTTAATATTCTATGTATGTTTGGTGTTGGTATTGGAGCTTGAACTTAAGGTCTGGGCACTGTCCATTGGCTTTGTCACTCAAGGTTGGTGCTCTTATCACTTGAGCCACAGCTCTACTTCTGGGTTTTTTTTGTTTTTTTCTTTGGGTCCGGTCAGTCGTGGGGCCTAAACTCTGGGCCTGGGCGCTGTCTTCAGCTCAAGGCTAGTGCTCTACCCTTTGAGCCACAGCACCACTTTTGGCTTTTTTCTTTTTGCTTATGTGGTGCTGAGGAATTGAACCCAGGACCTCAGGCATGCAAGGCAAGCGCTCTACCAGTGAGCCACCTTCCCAGCCCTCTCCTTCTGGTTTTTTGATAGTTACCTGGAGATAAGAGTCTCAGACTTTTTTGCTCAGGCTGGCTTTGAACTGTGATCTCAGCCACCAGCACCCAAGAAAAAATGTTGCCTTAAATCCAAGAGTCTCAAAAGACACAGTACAACATTAAAAAAAAAAAAAGTTACTTTTCAATCAAAAGACAAAAGATAACTTACTAAAAGTCTGACAAGTGACCCGATGCCAGTAGCTCATGCCTGTAATGCTTACCAGGCTAGATGCAGAGATCTGAGGATCACAGTTCAAAGCCAGCTCAGGCAGGAAAGCCAGTGAGACTCTTATCTCCAATAAACCACCAGAAAACCAGAAGTAGCACTGTGGCTCAAGTGTAGAGAGCTTGTCTTGAGCTGAAGAGCTAAGGGTCAGCACCCAGGCCCAGAGTTCAAGGCCCACGACCGGCAAAAGTCTAACAAGCAGAGACAATAGCCCTAGTGATTTATAGTCTGGCAGATGAGTTTGTCTCAATCCCCTTTGGGCCTTACCATACACATAATCTCATCTCAGGGCCAATGGCCTGCTTCCTGCTTTTACTAGCATTTTTCCCCAGCTGTTCAGGAACAACTTAGACAAGTTGGGGTCTCCGCCTAAGCAGGAAAGGCAATGGTATAACTGCTATACTACAAACAGCATAGAATATATTCCACCATCTATAGTTATTACAAACGTCTTTGTTTCTAGGCATATCTACAGCAATACTAGTCAAGTGAATTTAAAATTCCAAATGATACATTTTTAGTGCCTAGTACTAAGGAGGTAGGCAATCTATTATTTGAGCCATGTTCCCCTAGGCCTTTTTGCTTGTTATTTTTCAAATAGGATCTCAAGTTTATGCCCAGGCCAGCCAAATCATGTGTCTCTTATTTATGCTTCTTGCCTTGCCTACCTGGGATGATAGGTGTATACCACCATCTGCCGGAGAGGTTCATCTTGATCAAAATCCAGCTTTCTATTGGTTGAGATGTGGTCTTGAGAGCTTTTTTTTGGTCTGGGGCTGGCTTGGAACTACCGTCCTCATTTCTGCCTACCAATGTGTGAGTCACCAACATCCAGCCAAAAGATCTTTTTAAATATAAAAGAATTGGTTTATTATAGTTTACATACATAAAATTGAATATTCAAACAATAAGCTTTGGGAAAAAAAGTTTAACATTTAAAGAGGCAATCTATATTTGAGCCTGTGTGGAACCATACCACACTTGTATCACTGCAAAATTCTGTCTTTGTCTTTCAGGTGCTGGGCTAATTTCTGAGCTCTGTTGATAAAACAGAATTGTGTTGGATACAAGGTTGACAATCCGGGGTTAGGAAGGTGGCTCAGCAGTAGGTGCTTGCCTGGCATGCATGAGGCCCTGGGTTCAATTCCTCAGCACCACATAAACAGAAAAGGCTGGAAGTGGCACTGTGGCTCAAGTGGTAGAGCGCTAGCCTTGAACTGAAGAGCTCAGGGACAGCACCCAGGCCTAGAGTTCAAGCCCCACAACGGACAAAACAAAAACAACAATCCCAGAGTTCTCCTCTGCTTTCACTAAAGTACTTGTATAAATTAGACATTTTCCAAGAATAACCTGAAACAACTTTGTTGTATTTGTCTGTGTTGGTGTTCTTCAAATTATCCTCTTCAGGTCGGTGGAAGAAAATGTAACTAGCTCTTTAATTATTCACATCATTTGGATGTTAAGTTAATCGTGGGAATTCCTTGTCTTCTCTCCCTTTTTTGGTAGTTCAATGTGTTCGTTAGCTTTTTTAAGAAAAAATTCTAAGCTAGGCGCCAGTGGCTCTCGCCTTTAATCCTTGTTACTCAGGAGGCTGAGATCTGAGAATTGTGGTTCAAAGCCAGCCCGGGCAGGAAAGTCTGTGAGAGTCTATGTCCAATTAACACCAGAAAAACAGAAGTGGCACTGCGGCTCAAGTGGTAGAGCGTTAGCCTTGAGCTCAAGAGCTCAGGACAGCAGTTTTAAGAGTCCTTGGTTAACAAGTGATGACACCCGGAAGAACATACTTCAATCTTGAAAGGGAATGCAGAAGGATTTTTCCAACAAAGTTCCAAGAAGTGTTTCCTAAGGTCAGTATAGTTCTATTCCTAAATTCAGTATTATTTTGAACAGGTTTTTTAAACTTACATATCCTACATTTTAAGTGGATTTGAGTATAGTCACTGGGTCTGTGTGTATATATATACTTTTGTGTGTGTGTCTGTGTTGGTCCTGGGGGTTGAACTCAGTGCCCAAGCAGGGTTTTTTAAGCCCAAGGACCAGCGCTGAGATATTTCATGAAAACAAAATCACATGCTATCTTCTATAACTAGCTCCTATAAAATGGTATCAAAATCCATTCATGTGTATCATTTATCAGATTATATTATCAAATATTTTTATTGTATGAATATTCTGTACTTTATCCATTTATCAGCTAATGGATATTTTGGTTGTTTCCACTATTTGGTTATCATGAAAATGCTGAACATTGATGAACAGATTTCTTTTTTTGCCAGTCCTGGACTTGAACTCTGAGCCTGGGCACTGTCCCTCAGCTCTTCAGCTCAAGGCAAGCACTCTACCACTTGAGCCACAGTGTCACTTCCGGCTTTTTCTGCTTATGTGGTGCTGAGGAATCGAACCCAGGGCCTCATGCACGCAAGGCAAGCACTCTACCGCTGAGCCACCTTCCCAGCCCATGAACAGACTTCTTATAGGAGAATTGCTAAATCACATGGAATTCCCTGTTACCTGATGAGGAACTAATGTTTTTATTCATAGTGCCTGAAGTTATTTTGTTTCCATCAGCAATATGAGGGTTCCAAATTCTCTATATGTTCACCAACATATTTCATTTTTACTCACAGATTCTATTGTAGTGTAAGTGAAATAAATGTTCTCTTGGCTTTTGCCTTTCCCTGATGATTGTGATCTTCTTTTTATGTGCTAGATACCTGGCCATTTGACTGACTTTGAACTATCAAAAATAGAGATTTGAAAATACTTCAGATATGGTATAATTATCATTTTGCTAAAGCAAGTGTTTTCTCTAACTCCTTTAGCTGTATATTGCCTTGAGTAATCATCATGCGGATGGTATCCTGTAGGAGAAAGTGAAATCTAGTCATTGTCTTACCAGGCTCAACAAGGTACAGTTCTACTGTTTTATTTATTATATTCAAGAACCAATAGTAGGGAGTCAGGGGGTGTAGCTCAGTGGTGGAGGGTGGACTTGGCATGCACAAGGCTCTCATACAATGGCAGCACCAAAACCACACACCCACACCCACACCACCAACAGTGGGAACTAGAGCTGCTGCATATTTGAAAGCCAAAAGCTATATGGAACAGCATGAAAGCGAGGTAACGCTAATGTCCAGTTACAGCAATGTTAGTAAATTTAAAATATTTATTAAAAAATCAGCAATGATCATTGATGATCAAAGTATACCATCTCGGTGACATTCGTTCTCCAAGATGTTCCTAGCATTTCACAAATCAATTCAAAAGAGTCTGGGACCGCCCTCACCGTTCTCTAGTTCTTACCTCTTCGGTAGCACCTTTGTTCCTTTTAAATTCTTCCCTTGCCCAGTCCTTCAGGTATTTGCGATCAGAATCATTTGGAACCTGTCGAATTGCTTGCAAAATCCTTCTGTAGAGGTGGAGGACCTGTTGCCTTCTCATGAACTATTTAGGAGAGGGGAAATGGGGGGGGTGTCCTCATTATTATCTTGGTAAAGAAAGTGGTAATGAGGGGGGGGGGCGTTTGCTTACTCTTAAGAAACTTAAATTGAGGTGACTCCTACTTGTCAGAGAGAGGATCGCCCGTCTCCTAAAGCTACCATAGCTATCAGCAACACCTGTGTGCAATTAGCCCAGCTGAAATGGTTCGGTTGCGTGGTCTGGCCGGTGCGTTACCACGGGTCGGTGCAGCAGGACACCTCTACCTTGGCCCGAGAAACCGGAAGATGAAGCGCCCGCCCCGCCCCGCAGCAGGAAGTCCCGCCCCCGCGCCTACGGGCTCGAGCCCGGGACTAGTCCAGGTTTCCCTTTCATCCCAACCTGTCCCACTCTATCAACAGGCTTGCGAGTCAAGAGGTTCAGAATCTAGAATTGCTGCTTTAGAAGAACGGAGTCGGCTGGTACCTGCTTTAGAGTTAGCGTAGCTGGCGGCAAACGGGAAGCGGCCATGTTCTCCCCCACGGAGGGCTCCAAACTCTAATGCGCAAAAGCGGAAGTGAGGGAGGTGTGGGGCGGGGCTATGCCGGTGTCCTTGGAGACGGCGTTGTGTCCGGGAGCCGGAGCCTGGCGGGCGGGAGCGAAGCCCGGGGCGTGCACGCTGGGCACGCCGCAGACGGCAGCAGCAGCGATCGCCAACTACGAACCGGAAGGCGCTGGGCACGGGTCTCGGCGTGCGATATAGCGAGGCATCTATTACGTGGAGGAAAGTGTTTCACGGAGGGGAGACAGCTAAGTTCGTGTGCCCTTTGGGCCTGCTGCGTGTCAGCCTGCGCCGTTGGAAAGGCCTGGCTGGGGCTCGTGGCCCAGCGCCCCGGCCTCAGCGCGGGAGAGCGAGGCCCGGCTCGGAACTGTCCCTTCAGTGTTGGCGTCCCGCACGCCTTCCCATGGTGGGGATATTCAACTAAATGTTAGGCAATCGCTCCGTATCCCCAGCTCCCTCCCCCATTCTGAGATAGAGTTTCGTGAACGTTCCCCGGGTTGACCCCTAACTCCGTCGATTCTGCTTGCTTCTGTCCCCAATAGCTGGGATTTCAGCTATGCACCCACCTAAGCCTGGCTCCATTCTCTTCTTTTTGCAAGTATTTCCCCTAAGCAGTGCTCATCAGCGTTTGTGACAAGGCTTCAAGGTCTGTCTCACAGGTGGAAGAAGCCAACATGTCGAGCCTCGAGCTTTTACTTTCTAGTTTAATCTCCATGACGCACATCCTAAAGTTGGATATCCAGAATTGAGGTTAGTGAACTTTTTGCCATATTGTTTTCCAAACAGTACTGTATCTAATTAAAGTACCACCCCAAACATCCATTCAGTTACCCCGTTGCGAAGCACCTGCTTGATTGTATCTGCCTGGTGAGAGTTCAGATGCTTTTCCTAAAGCTGTGTTCCAGCCTCTTTTCCCCACCTGTTTCCTCTCTCTCAAGTGTGAAGTGAAACAGCCTCTACCTCACAAGCACCAGAACTACTAAGAAACAGGATCGTGCACGTGTAAGAATTTGAATCGTTAGCTCTTTTGCTTTACCCTGAATGCATTTTAGCCAATAGCTGGGTGACAC